TCTGTTCAAGATCCGGAAACGTATCTCTATCAAGCGTTATCTCCCACTTATCTAACGTCGACCTCGGTAATTTACTCTCTAAAAGATGTACGATCATTTCTTGACCGACTGTGACGCCTAAAGTAAGCAACGACGCGACGTGTTGTGATGATGGCTAAAAATGTTAATTTCGAAACTGTATTTTTATTTGATCTTTATGTATTAAAAATGAAATAATTTGTGCATGTTTATTGTAATTTGATTATTAAAATTTGAGACACTGTATATATACAAAAAATTTAATAATTGCTAAAGTCAATAGATAAGTACCTATTCAAGTAAATGTGTTGATAACGTAATGTCCTTGAAATTTATACTACTGAACTTTACGTCTACAAAAATTATTTCAAGTGCCTGTTTATACGCAGACTAAGTAAAATATTACTGGAAGACAGTATAAAGCAAAAGTTATACTCGATATACAAAATTAAGAAGATTTCTATAAATTGAATAAAAATAATTAATAATCAGTGTAAGTATTGAATTATCAAAAGCTTTAAATTTTTTTACGTGAATATTTTATATCGTTATATTTATATATCTATACATATATATATATATATATATATATATATATGTATATATCTTATATTATTACACATCGTGTGTGTGTGTGTGTGTGTGTGTGTGTGTGTTAAAGACAGAAAAAAAGCAAAAGAAAAGAAGAAACATGAAAGACGCAAGTAAACATAGCTAAAAAAAGTACGTTATTTTTGATGAGCAAAGATATATCGGTTCTCAAGTTTCCGCAAAAGGTGAATGCACCACTGGGGGGATTTCTCCGTTCTCCTCCCAGAATAGTATCTCTTTTGCTTCCGTAGATGGAAATAAATCTTCCCCACCCGATAAAATTTCCATGCCCGCGTACGTGTATGCAAATCGCATAATTTTCCACAAAAGCAAGATTGTTTACCTACTCAACGATAATGACAGATCATTGAGCACGGATTCTTTTTGTCATTTACGTCATCGCGAAAAGAGCGAGAGAGAAAGGGAGATACCACCAACGGAGGGACGTGCATTAACTTCCAACGAATCTTATCGTTGAGCAAAGAGATGGACTGCGATCGTATTCAAGCAATGCTTATCACAATATCTCGGACTGCTTATAAGTAGTCAAGCAGTGACATTTCTCAGGACAACCGTATTACGCGCGGAAGCTTTGTTACTCCCGGTTCGTTTCAGATACTTGAGATACATCGAGTTTGCGCACTATGTCACCCTACGATTTCAACGAAGTTAAAATCATCGACGATGCGGCGGATAATATGGACGTTATTAAGACTATAATCAACAGAAAAAATCAGGAAGATGGTTTCTACATTGTAGATATTGGTGATATTATTAACAAACACCGCGAATGGATTACAAAAATTCCGAGGGTTGCCCCGCACTACGGTATGTTAACTTTAAGGATCTCCTCTCGATAATCGATTGCTTAATTTGTCACTAAAAAAATTCAGGGATTTTTCATTTTCTTCTAAACTGATTTCAGCGGTTAAATGCAATCCCGATCCGAATGTAATCAAGATATTGGCAGCCTTAAATACTGGTTTCGACTGCGCGTCCGAGGTAAATTAATGCGCCTTTTATCGCGATCATAGTCTTCTATATTTTAAACATTAAAACTTCTACATTACTCGTTCAGTCATGAAATTTTCAAGTTAATATTTTAAAATATAATTTGATTGTTATACTTTTCGCATCAAACGATTTTTCTTTAAATTAAATAAAAAAATTTTTATGATTTTATACATGATATCTTATTCTTCTTAATATTTCTTCGTAATATCTTACGCTTCTTAAATTGCTTTTCAATAATGGAGCAGAATAATATGTTTAATTTTAACACGTATGCATGTGATATGTCGCAATAGCAAGAAATCAGACAAGTGATGCAGTACGGCGTGCAACCTGATCGGATCATATTCGCAAATCCGTATAAAAGCCCGTCTCACATCAAGTATGCCAAGAAAATGAACGTCGACCAAATAACCGCCGACAGTGAATTGGAACTTTTGAAGATAAAGGATCTTTATCCGGAGGCCAAGTGAGTGTGCAAAATAATCGCTACTATTATTACTTGCCATTGTGGTTACAAACAGCATTCTGTTTCTTTTTTTTTTAATCCTTTTTATCTTTCGATCGTCGTACAATAATTTCCCGTAATGGTCTAACAGGATAGTGGTACGCATTCGATGCGACGCGAAGAACTCGGATTGCGATCTCGGACTGAAATTCGGCTGCGAACCGGACGAGAATGCTGTACGATTGATACAATTTACGATGAACCTCGGTCTCACCCTGCACGGCTTCAGTTTTCACGTCGGTAGCCCGTGCAGAGAGCTGAACGCGTACAGTAGAGGCATCGGCATATGCAAACGATTGATCACAATCGCCCAATCGATGGGCTGCAAGGATGTGCAGCTGATCGACATCGGCGGCGGCTTTCCCGGTGAAAGAGGAACAGATATTGACAAGGTACATGCTTTACCAGTCACGTCTTACGCACGTTCTCTTTTCTCATCTCACACCGCGACAGCCAAAATAATCTTTCGATTTCATTTTTCAATTCTGTCAGCTTGCCAATATTGTCAACGATGCAATTCAAGATCTTGATCCCAGCATAAGAATCATCAGCGAACCCGGAAGATACTACGTTGAATCGGCATTTACCCTAACCGCGTTCTTACACTCCAAAAAAATCGTTCATAAAAATGGCAAACTTATGAGAATGTATTACACGAATGTCGGAACGTTCAACTCGTTTCTGGATGAAATGTTAGGTCTCAAGGCTAGAGTTCCGCAAACTCTCTTTGAGGTACGTACACACGTAATCACAAATATTACGACCCGTTGAACATCACTGAATATTATATACGAAAAATTTCTTTTTGTCGATGGAAAAAATAATTTATTAATAATTTGTATAGCCGGCGAGCGATAAGAAATTTCTTTCGACTTTGTGGGGACCGACTTGCGATTCGTACGATCTAATTGTTAAAGATGTATTACTGCCAGAACTTCACATCGGCGATTGGCTAGTTTGGAAGGACATTGGTTCTTACACTTTAAGCCTGTGCACGGCATTCAATGGATTTCCGATCCCAAAAGTCACACCGTTTATTAGAAAAAGTCAATGGTTAGCAATTCACTAATACCTTTCTTTTGTATACGCATGTATCGTCTTATTTACATTTTACATTTTTTAATACAGAGATTACTAACAAGATATTTCTAAGTTCTCGTAAATTATTCTAAACATATCTTGAATTAATATCACGACTTAATTTAATTTAATTTTATAACTTAAAAAAATACTAATAATTTCAGGAAAAATCTACTAATGGAGATCAAACTGATGCAAAGATCCATGGAATGAGCCAAGCCAATGGAAAGGGAGCATTACATTGAAAACCGCTGACACAAATTAAATTAATAATTAAAATTAAGATAACATGAGTTTTTGTCTCGATTAAATTTTATTTACTTTCTTAATATTTATCTAATCGCTCTCATTATTTAGATATAAATATACTGATAATTGCGAATGGTGATTAACTTTTGATTAACACTTTTGATTAACACTTTGACTGTCATGTGTATCCAATTGGATACACACCTATGTGGGTTCAGGTGCCGATCTATCAATTTTAGTATTAATTTAATTCACACATTTTCTACTTACTACTTGTACATGAACCGAGAAAACTACGTATTGATTTTATATGACATAGTGTGGATAAATTGATATATTTGATGTAAGTATTAATATATGGATAGACTAATATATTTTAAAGGTCCAAGCCAAAGATTTTAATTAAAAAATATACTTTACTATTATAGAAAATGTATTTTAATGTTTAAAAAAATTTACTTAAAATTATATTATATAAAAAATAACGGTGTGACATATAAGAATCGATTACAGAAATTTGTGCGACAGTCAAAACGTTAACAGTAATGAGTAATACTGCATATGTTTAATTATTCTTTATAATTTTATATTTATGATATGCAAGATTATTGTCTTTTTATATATATATAATTATATACGTGATGTAATGATATAATGTTAATTATTTTTAAGTTTTAAATTATTTTTGAGATATTAGAAAAAGCATATAAAACGTTTGATAAAAAAATATGAGAAATAAATAAAAATGTTATTTATTTCTCATATTTTGCTTTAATTAATAATATAAGCACAATGTAATAATCTAATATTTTATTATAATACAAGCACATTTAAATAAAAGAAGACCGTCGATTATAATCGGCGGGAATAGTGGGGCCTCTATAGGTTGATTCGTTTATGTTAAATTTTGAATTCTTAAATGAAAAATATATTGTTTGTGTAAGAAAATTTTAAATTTTAAAATTTCTATCGTAATTATATTTGTTATAAAATATAATACAATATAACAAAAATATGATAATATAAATTCAATATAAACTCATCAACTTCTAGAGGCCCTCCACCACCCCCGCCAAATATAATCAGCGGTCCTCTTTTTAAATATGTTTATATTACATTATTTAATACAATGTAAGCATAGTGCTAATATTATATTACATTATAAATAATATAATATAATTAAAAATATTATTACATAATATGATACAATATATGACAAAATCGTAAAATATATTATATCAAATTGTTTATACATATCAACTTTAATTTTTTAAGCTAATCCGTTTTTTGATTGAATAGTTACGATAAAAAACTCAAAATTTAGAATTTTCCTTTACAAACAATATATTTTTAATTTAAGAATTCAAAATTTAACATAAACGAATCTACTTGTAAAGGCCCTCCACCACCCCCGCCGATTACAATCGACGGTCTTCTTTTTTTTAATTTAAATGTGCTGGTATTATATTATAATATAATAAAAGCACAATGTTAATATCATATTATATAGAATGTAATATAATATAACAAAAATACGATAATACTTCAATATAAACTCATCAACTTCTAGAGGCCCTCCACCATCCCCGCCAATTATAATCAGCGATCCTCTTTCAAATATGTTTATATATTACATTATTATACATTATATTACATTATTATATTACATTATATACATTATATTACATCATTATACGTTATTTAATACAATATAAGCATAGTGTAATATTATATTACATTATAAATAATATAATATAATTAAAAATATTAATACATAATATGATACAATATATGACAAAATCGTAAAACATATTATATTAAATTGTTTATACATATCAACTTTAAGTTTTTAAGCTAATCCATTTTTTGATTGAATAGTTACGATAAAAAACTCAAAATTTAGAATTTTCCTATACAAACAATATATTTTCAATTAAAAAATTCAAAATTTAACATAAATGGATCAACTGATAAAGGCCCTCCACCACCCCCGCCGATTATAATCGACGGTCTTCTTTTATTTAATTATGCGTGTATTATATTATAATATAATATATAAGCACAATGCTAATATTATATTATATTATATGAAATATTATACAATACAATATAACAATAATACATAATATGACACAACACACAAAATATGAAAAAAATTATAAAATATATTACATTAAATTGTTTACACATTTAAACTTTAATTTTTTTAGGCTGTTTCGTTTTGATTGAATGTAATTATGATAGAAATCTTGAAATTTGGATTTTTCTTGTACAAACTATATATTTTTAATTTGAGAATTCAGATAAAATTCAATATAAACTCATCAACCACTAGAGGCCCTCCACCACCCTCGCCGATTATAATCAGCGGTCCTCTTTTTAAATATATTTATATTATTTAATACAATGTAAGCACAGTGCTGATATTATATTACATTATAAATAATATGATACATTTAGAAATATTAATACATAATATGATACAATATATGACATCGTAAAATATATTATATTAAATTGTTAATACATATCAACTTTAATTTTTTAGGCTGTTCCGTTTTTTGATTGAATAGTTGTTATAATTAGAAAACTTAAAATTTAGAATTTTTTAATACAAATTATATACTTTCAATATAAAAATTTAAATAAAGTTTAATAAAAACGAATCAACCTATAAAGACCCTCCACCTCCCCCGCCGATTTTCATCGACGGTCCCCTTTTTTTGTAAGTATCACTGATCTATATATAAATTAGTGACATTTACTGCACGACATTGATATGTGTCTTGATCTGTATACAGATCTGTAGTATACAGATCAGTATTTTATCAGTATCACGTATCAATGTTAAGTTTGTATACAGGTTAATCCGTTTTAGCCAGAATAAATTTTATAAATAAGAATAATAAAAGAAAATAAGAAAATAAAAATTTGAAATAAAATAAAACGACATGGTTATCACTGATATGTGATACTGGCATCACTGATCTAATCGAAATTTTATTTTCTTTTTTACTTTCTTGCTTCATTATTATTTATATAATTAATTCGCGTTAAAATACAATTTATTAATCTTATTTCTTTAACCCTAACCTTTTAAATAATTTAATATTATACTGCAATATAATTGTAAAATATATGTTGTTTACAATGTAATATAATACAGAATCATAAAACGCTGTTCAAAATATAATAAAAATAATATTAGTAACACGTAATAATTAAAAAAATTTTTATAATACAGAATTTTACGAAAGCGTCGAAAATGCATATGATAACAAATATTATTAAACCTATGCTAATATATATGTGTGTATATTGATAAAGCGAATAAAATAAAATATTGATAATAATTAAAATCATATTTATTTTTAATTGCCAATTTGCGATTATACAAAACTCATTACATTTCATATAACGCATTTGCGAATAAAAAATTGTTAATTTTATATGTCTTATAATCCTTCAAATATTGATAAATTCTACAAAATTTTCTATGAAACTATTTTATGAAATGTATACAGGATTTTTTTACAAAAAAATAAGCACACAAAATAAACCAATGATCAAATTAGAAGTTAAACCGCGGTAACAAATTAATACTGATCTAGGCAATGAACAAATTGATTGGAAATACTCGCGATACTACATTCTGAATAATAAAATCTAAACCATGACATCTAAAATGCCAATGGAAATTCTTCATTAATTATTATTGCTTTCTAAAAGAAAAATACGATACTACAATTTATATTTTTCGCGGGAACATGTTTATACTTGATTTCGATAATAATATTACATATAAATTAAGTAAGCTATTAATTAAAATATTAAAACTCTATTGACTAATGGCTGCTATATTCCAAGCTCTATAAATCTTAGAACATAGCGAGAAATGACTGTTTTCATCGGCTTCAAGAATAGATAACTGGTCTAACCACATTAAGGTCTCTTTATCGAGTGATATACTAGTTAGTATCGATTCTAAGAAGAATCTTCATGATGGAGAGCGAACTTAATATTTTTTAATTTTTTATCAAGTTCCACAAGGAAATATTCACAAAAAATTAAGCAATTTGTCAAACACCAGCAGTAGGACAAAATCTAAATCCGATAATAATGATTTTGACAATGTATCAAAGACAGTTATCATATTTTACCTTTAATAGAAAATATTAAAATTCGCGCGCAAAAAATATATAGTCTCCCATTATTAAAAATCATCTCTTTTTTTATTTAAAAAAATGTATGGATAGAATGATTCTTATGAAATAGTGATTACAAAAGAATATATTTAATATATTAATTTAAGTAATAAAATACATTATTATAACTTAGTGTCTGTATGGGTACAAATGTTTCTCGGGTACCAACTGTTCGAGATGAGTCGAACCCAATAATAGTGGGATTTTAAAGAATTATATACATATATTGAAAACTTTAGCCATATAAAATTGAATTCTTTATTTTTCTGAAGCGATTCAAAAATGTTATGCTGTTGACATCCCACTAATATGAGGGATACCCATTCGACTTATCTCGAAATTTTTGTAACCATACATTTCAAATTACATTTATAAGATTCTTAAAACAAAAAGATACAAACTTTTTTCGTAAAAATCAAATTTTGTTAAATAAGATCTTATAATATTTACATGTATTTTATTATAAAAAAGTGTAAATTACTATAACTAAATAAATTGTAATATCCTTGAGAATGGCGGGATGTCCAGTACCTAAAAATAATTTCCTAAAATAAATTAAAAGTTAGAAAATTAAATATATACGTTTGTAATCATATTTTTGTAATCACTGAAAAATAGGAAAAACTATTAGTATAAAACTTAAATGTATTTACTTGATAACTGAAATGTATACAAATAATCATTTTATATCCGTATTCTATAATACTAATTGTAAGTATTACTATCATTAGTACAGTACTAATACCAAAATATTATTATTAATGGGAGAATATTTAACAAAAGAAAAGAGAAATTCTTTTAAAATATTATACTGATTTAATTTCACGACTCGATTTTAAAATGTATAGTTGTCATCATTGACATATTGCCAAAATCATTACTTCCGGAAACTGCTGAAAAAATCCCGGTTTAATTCCAGCCTTATAAGAATTCTTAACTTTCAACGGAGTACTATACTATATATTTTACAAATGGATTTCACGAATATTGACAAGAAATAACTCTCAATAACAAAGAAAATTATTCTGATTTCCCATCGATACGAACCACGTATTCACTGACACCTATCTGACGCAAAAAACAGTAATGAGGCCTTCGTTTGTTGAGACAAATAATCACACTTAAGAACGAGAAAAAAACGATGTACAATTGCTTTTATTAAATATTTAAATATCCTTAACTATTTCTAAATATAATTTAGAAATATTCTAAGTATAATTTCGGATTATTTTCAAATATAATTTAAAAATATTTGTTAAGAAATATTTAACATGCCGAAGAAATCATGGAAATGTTTAAAAGAAAACGAGAAATGATTAGTCTGCAGATTCTTACGGCTATAATCAAGATGACAAAAAACTATAAATCTTGTAATAATTTTATAAATATATAAATGTACTCGCAATTCTGTAGTATTAAAAATGTGTTCAAGCAAGAATAAGTTAATATTTGATCAATAAAAGCATAAGAGACTTCACTGTCTTATTTAATAAATTTGACTTATTTGAATCTTAATAAAATATATCTCATTAAAAATTATTAAATACTTAAACAATTAATAAAATTGTTAAGTCTAAACATAAAAACTTAAATAAAAAATTACTCGAATTACTGATGACTTCTTGGTACTCAAAATAAAAATTTGGAAACTAAGAACTTTAAAATTTATTAAAACTTTAAATATTTATCGAAAGCATTAATTTAATAAACTTGTTATCATATGCGTTTTGTCAATTTCACGTTTATATTATAAGCTATATAATTAGGCTATATAATTAAGCTATATAATTGAAAATTTTTGTTAATAAATTTCGCTCGTTATTGTAATACAATAATTAATAAGATTAAACGAGTAAATTGCAATTAAAAAAGTCCTAAAAAATAAGAATGAAACTAGTCTTGTTTTATGTTTGAGAATTAATTAAAAATAATTTTTGTTACCTATTAAATTGCTCGTCTTTGGCCGTTTAATCTTATCAAATATGCTATAATTTAGTTTACTATGACCAGATAAATGTTACTAATATCGAATAAATATGTACATGGATATGTATATGTATCCGATAAATATCTCAAAATATTCCAAATATTTCGTTGGTAACCACCGTATAAAAGTAACGATATTTATCTGGACATAGTATTACATAAATTTTATATTACATATTTAATTTTACACAAATTTACTGACAAATACAATTAAATTACATCAATATATTACATAATTTATAAGAGTATACAATTTTACAAAAAAATAATTTGGGGGCTAAGAGTTAAATAAAATTTAAAAATAAATTTATACTTTTTATTCAATTTTTTGTAAAATTGAAATTTTTAATTTTATTTAATTTTTTAAATATCTTTTTGGATTATCAATTACGAAATTGTGATATCCGTGTATTCGTAATTTCCTATTTATAATATAATATTATGTAGTTTAGTTGTACTTAGTATAGTTTTAAAAGAAAAATTAAATTTTGCGATGTTAAATGTCATTAATTTGCAGCGCTTTAATTTTTAAAATATTAAGTTATATTTAGTCTCTGAACTCCTACTTATCCGTATTTTTTGTTTATTCTGTCTTTGTTATATATTCGTGCTTACATATACGTATGTCTATTTCTATTTACATATTATGTATTATCTATTATGTAATTTAATTGTAGCCAATTTTAAAAATGAAATTTAATTTCGCGGCGTTAAATGTTATTTAAAATATTAAGTTACATTTAGTTTTCCCCAAACATTAAATAATCCTTTCTGCATGTATTTCTTATCTATTTTTCTATCTTCCCGTATTTTTATTTATTTATGCCTATCTATTTGCATATTCCTACCTACTCCTATTTACTTATTGTATAAATGTGCAGTAAAACACGAATACGTAAATACCTAATATGTGTTTCAGATGTTAAGAGGCATATCGCGATTATAAAAAATATGGGAAATAATTTGAAAAAAAAAATATATATATATATATATAAATTCGCAATTTAATTTAAGAGCAAATTACTCTTCCGATTAATAACTCCATCCTCCGAACATAATATTATATAATAGTACATAATTTCTATAACATAAGTATATTATATACTAATATATATGTCCTATATTTGGTGTTGGTCCAACGGGATTAGGAAAAATATGAAATAAACAATAATATAAAAACTCGCGATTTAATTTATGAGCAAGTTACCCTCCCGATTAATAACCCATTTCCCCTCAATCATAATAATGTAGTATATAAATTCTATGGCATAACGTAAGTACCTAATATATGCCATATTATATACTTATAATATGGCATATTATATACTACCAAGTATCTACTTGATACTATATGGTAATGAAAAAAATTTTATATTAATCGCTTTCTAGTCAAAATTATGTAATTATGTCTTGATTATATCAATTTGAATATTTTAGAGCAATAATCTGTGAAACTTGAATATATTATGTATTATATTCATAATAAGATTGTAGATAATTGCACTTTTCTCACACCCCTGCATCTCATTAAAAAAGGTTTCACTTACCAACCTGAAGCGCAACGGGCGGAGTTATCTGCCACGAAGCTACGATGATACTGTAACACATAAACATAACATTCAAATTAAAACACCGCTCAAAATAATTAATCTTTAAAAGATAATTCTTTCGCACATCGAATTTTTATTCATTTTTTAATAAAATACTTACATATAATATAATTATTGTATTTTTCGAAAAACTCTTTATAAAAACAATCCTTTATAAAATTTTATATTTTCTTTCTAACTATTAACTTATTAAAATAAAAAATAAATGAGAAAGAATTATTAATTTCATAGGTAAAAAATTATACTCACCCCAAAGTTGCTCCACCGGAGCCCGATGCCTCTCTTAGGCCCCCTCCTCCTCTCAGAATTGAATTATCAGGTCTCCTGTTCCTCCCGCACAGGACACTCGCGAAAAACACACGCGGATAATATGCAACAATCGCGCGTAGACTAATTATTAATAAAAGTTTACGACACTCCCGAACCAAACGCGCGACGCGGTTTGTACTTTTAATTAAGTCGTCGACGAGTACGTTAACTTCCTCGTTGTTTTGATATATGTAAGGAATATCTGAAAGAAGATATAATTAAGGTATTATTAAATAGATCAGAGATTAATAAGAAGAAGATGTAAAAGTGATTACCATGCAAAATACTATAAGAGTTATGCTCAAATAAAAGTAAAATTTTATGTTAATTTCGTTTTGAACCGATCAGTAGAGATTTGATCAAGTCTCGTGAATTGTCAGGAATTGATTGGATTCAAATTAAAACAGCGCACAAAATAATAAATATGTGAAAAGCAATTTTTCAATGCACTGAACTTTTAATTAATCTTTATTAATATAATTATTTATTTTTACAAAAGATTGAAGAAAAAAATAAACTTATATTTGTAGAAGTTCTGTTTCCAATTATTTTGTAATTTATCATTTATTATTTATTCAGATTTTTAAATTCAGATAAGCCGATCCAAATGCATAAGAAAGAACTATTAATTTTTTGCAGATAAAAAATGATACTTACATCAAAATTACTCTGCCGGAGCCCGATGCCTCTCCTAGGCCTCCTCCTCCTCTCAGAACATTTGTGGTTGTCAGGTGGTTTCCTCCTGATTAAAATTAAAACAGAGCTCAAAATAATCAATATGTCAAAGAACATTTTTAAACGCATTGAATTTTCAATTAGTTTTTGTTAATATAATTATTTATTTAAAAAAAAATTAAAAAAGAATAAACTTATATTCGTAGATAATTTTTCTATCTCCAATTATTTCGTAATTTATCGTATTCGAATCTTTTAGATTTAGATAAAACGATCCGAATACATAAGAAAGAATTATTAATTTTGCAGATAAAAAATAATACTTACACCAAGGTTACTCTGCCGGAGCCCGATGCCTCTCCTAGGCCTCCTCCTCCTCTCAGAACGTTTGTTGTTGTCAGGCCTCCTGATCAAAATTGAAATAGCATTCAAAATAATCCACATTTTAGAAGATAATTCTTACGCGCATCAAACTTTTCCTCTTTCAATTAAATATTTTTCAAATAATTATAAATTTTCCAAAAAAGAATTCCATAAGAATAAAATTGTATAAAATTTTAAATTACTTCCTTTCTCTAATTATTATTTTCAAATAGTTGAAATAAAACGATCCAAATAAACAGAAATCAATATTACGCAAACTAAAAATAATACTCACTGCTATATTGTTACTCCAGCGTCGAAGCCTCATTCTTTTCTTCTCAGAATGGGAGTTTTACCGTTGCTTTGACTTTTCCTCAGTGATTCCTTATCACTGTATATGTTACATCGTGTTTTGGAAGACTCGTTAACGATACTTTGCAGTCGGACATAGGTCGGCGGAAGGAGTAATTTTTTTCAATTAACAGTCTACGGAAAGTTGACGGCTGCGCCCAGACTGTTTAACGCGTTTTTTCTGCAACTAGTACATTTTAGCGTCCCAAAGTACACGGGAACCTTTCCCTAAAATTGAAACAAAAAAACAGATATTGTCGACGGTAACGATGAAGCAGTCCGACGACTGTCTCTTCGAGTATTTGCACGCCGAGCTGGTCAATTACGTTTTGAGCAGGATGTCCAACGCTGTGGCAGAAATCGTCTGTGCAAATGATAAATTTTTCCCCGCCGTTTGGGCGTGACAAGTCCTGTTATTTACTACGTAAGAATTCTCCGAATTGTCGTTTCCAACAGAAAGGCGAGGAAGAATATACATAAATAACAAATAAGTTATACACATATTATAATATATAAATATATAATGTAAAAAAATAACAAAAAAATAACAAAATCTAGAAATGTAAATAACCTAAAAATAAATATAAATTAGTAGAGAATTAAAAATAATAATATTATTAATATTATTATTTTTACAAGCTAAACATTTTATATTTTAATGGTTTGAAAGTAGGTAAGAAGAAACGCGTTCACAATCTGACATTGACAGAATGTGCTACTGGTATAATAATATACAATACTTAAATTTATTTATTAATAATTAGCGGATTGCAGTTAGCTGAGCTCATTATGTAATTTAAGCAACTATGATCAAAAGATAATATAAATTATTCGTTCAGTTTAATTACTAATGTATTTTCAATTCTTTTAAAAGAAATGATCAATAAAAAGACAAGTAAAGTTTTTGATATAAACCAATAATAAAAAAATAATTTACAAATCACACTCGATCAAGGCGAATAAATTGATAGCAGATAATTCTAATGTACAATAGTAATTTGTACATCACGACTTTGGTTCAGTACGGTTGATATTATGACAAAAATAGTATAATAATTTATGCAATAAAGCCACATTGGACATCAAAAAATCTGTTGCAGGAAGGAACGAATCCCGAATCTTCCGGAGTGCCCCCGGATAAAAATAAATTTCGGCAGCAGAATCAATGACAGTCGCCGTTTCCAATTTATCATTACATAATTCAAGTAATTATGCAACAAGACAGATTAAATAATTCCCATTTATAAATAAAAAAATATTTATTAAAAAGAATAAAATTTCAAAGAATTTTTTTATAACTGTAAAAATCATTTGGCCGTCGTCGCCAACTCATGCCGAAAACATTATTCCCGCAGGATTCGAGTTTGTTAGGGGAAAACCCAGGATTAATTCTGGATCTGCAACAAGCACTCTCAACTCTCAATGAGACGATAAATCATGATAAACATTGATACAAGATCACCACGATAGGGTATTTTGTAGTATCTTATACCTAATACAAAGAATTTAATAACGAAATGTCTCCGCCAAGATAGAAAATGCATAAAAAACACATAAATGACATAATTTATTTTAAATATTGCGCAATATGACCAAGCTACATGTAAAATAAATATTTAACACGTCACAAGTTAGTTAGAAAATAAATTTTATCAAAAACAAAATAATCAATTGTTGGTATTAAATTGCCAGAATAAAAATTAATACGTGATTGCTAATTCCTCAAAACAACAAAAAAATTAAAAATAAAAATTTAAATTAATTTCAGTAGTTACTAAATATTTAGAAAATTTGGTATGACTTTATCGTTTTCGTCTTGTCGTTTCATCATGTCCTCTGTAATGTTTTAAAGAAAAATATTACTCTATACTAATTTTTTCTCTCTCATCATCGTTCTCTCTCGTTGTTAAGAGCTTCATCCTAATTCCTCTTGTACAAGATGCACAGATTACTCGTTCGCAGCGAAGTCTCCTATCGCATTCATCATTTCTTTCCGGTAAAATCTCAACAATTTCTAGATACAATCTCGAATCACTGCTGCAGCTTCTCCATGGCACGTGCAAAAGACATTAGCGTATCGACGATATAACGCAATGTCAATTACAGGTCGCAGGGAAGAAGCTGAAACAGAAATATGACATGATTAACGAAAAATTACAATTTTCAGTAAGAGAAATTTGAGAAATCTGAAACGAAAGGAATGCTACGAGAAGGAGCAATGTGTGTTTGAAGAAGAAATGTGTGAAAGAGAATCAAGTGGAGCCCGTCAAAAAATATATTGTGCGACATGATGTTATTATATTATTAATGTCCATTTTTATTGATTTTTACAAACGGTAGAGAGAGAGAGTGTAACGATAGAGATCTGATAGAGATTAAAAAATCATTATCGATGCATAATGAAATAAGTAGTAAGTTTGATGAGCTAGCGATAAAATTATAATCAAATTTTCATATTAATATTGATAATTTAAGACCATAAATTGATGGCCAATATTTGTGACTTATAATTGCATACGTGTGAATTTTATTGCATAATGCTATCTTGGTTTCATCATTACTGATGTTATTATTATTACACATACTCTAATTTTTTTCTCAGTAATAAGCCTCGTTAAATGTCGAGAGATTTACTGCAGAAAGGAATGAATACCGAATCTTCCGGATTGCCCCCCGGATAACAATCATTTTGGCAAGGAATTAACGACTGTCACCGTTTTTCATTTGACATTGCGTAATGTAAGTATTACGCAAGATCAAATCGATATATTAGTAATAGGATTAATGGGAAAACATTTGAAAAACGAATAACATCTTTTCCCATAATTTATTTTTTCATTATTAATTTCGCGACTCGACTTTGAAAAATATATGGTGGTCGTCGCCAACTGATGCCAAAATCATTGCTACCGGGAATCCGTGATTACGAGAAAACCCAGGATTAATTCTGTGTCTGCAGCAGACACTCAAATTTCAACGAGACGGTTAAAAAAATATATTTATGACCTATGTATTATTGTATACCTACAAGTGAATTCTATTTCGGAATGCCATTTTGATTCCATTATTATTAATATTATTATTAAATGTAGTGTAATTATGTTTTTCGGTAAAAAGCCTCGTTGAATGTCAAGAGATCTACTGCAGGAAGGAATAAATCCCGAATCTTCTGGATTGCCCCCGGATAACAATCATTTTGGCAAGGAATTAACGACTGTCACCGTTTTTCATTTGACATTGCGTAATGTAAGTATTACACAACAAGATCAAATCGATATATTAGTAATAGCATTAATGGGAAAACATTTTAAAAACGAATAAGATCTTTTCCCATAATTTATTTTTTCATTATTAATTTCGCGACTCGACTTTGAAAAATATATAGTGGTCGTCGCCAACTGATGCCAAAATCATTGCTACCGGGAATCCCTGATTACGAGGAAACTCGGGATTAATTCTGGATTTGCAGCAGGCACTCTCAAATTTTAACGGGACGATTAAAAAATTTTGATATAACGATTTTTATGGTACCTCACCGTACGAACATATTTCTTAATATTTGATTCTAATACTGAGTGTAACAACAATGAAATTTATTCCTCTATATTTATTTTTATTTATTCCTCTATTATTTTATTTATTTATTTGTTATTTATACCTTTTCGTCATGGCACATGCTTCCAAAAGCACAGAAACCATCAACGCTTAAATATATTATCAACTATTGTCTTTAAACCGCATGTATATTTATAAATACGTATGTTAATTAAAATATTAAAACGCGTGTCCTCTTATCTTTACTTGAATGGTATAATATTGAAATAGAAATATGAATAAACCTGTTTAGAGTGCGTTCCACTTGAATTTCGTAATGCTGAGAGCGTTATATACAGTATTTAATAAATAACTGGGATAGAATGATTCTAAAATCGCGAAATGCCAAGTGAAACGCAACATAAATGGCTCGGGTATCTCGGGAAGGCCAACTCCCGTACTCATCAATGTGAGTCCCTGAGAAAGCAAGTGACAAATTTTAAAACTTGTTTATCATTAAATTAGGTGAGTAACATATAAAATATTTTATATTAAAATTAGATTATTAATATTGATAGATGTTTGTAATATCACGGTCGATTATGAAACATTACGATCTGTTAGCAAGAACGTATTTATAATATCAGAAAAAGATATAAAGATAATTAATAGAACAAATTTAATTTAATTTAATTTATCAAAGATACGCGTGTCATCTTTTTAATCTTCGAGACCAAGAATTATATCAAGGAAATAAAATTATGTCATTAAAGAATAAAAATAATTTTACGTTAATCGCGTTCTAAATCAAAATTGTCGCGATAATATATCTCATTCACGAATACTCGAATTTGAATAGGATAATAGAGAAATATTAAACAAAAATTTTTAAATTAATTAGTGTAAATCACGACCTGAATCGCGAAACCGTTATTTAACTCTCACCTCAGATATTTTAAGATATTCAATATAAATGACGTGATATGATCCAAAGAGAATAATTTTTATATATAATTAATATCGTAATCAATGTAATAAATTTATTAAGCTGTCGCACATGTGAGAGACAGTTTTCTTAATAGATTTTCATATTTATATAAAAAGTAAATATATAATTATTCTATTCTAAAATATTATTGTTATTACATTTAATATGATATAACAGAAATATATATAACTTCGGATTTTATTAAGTATTTTGATATAATTAATATAAAACTTTGAGATGGTACTATATAAAAAATTTTTCAATTCCGCGGTCAAATTTTTACTGGATCTCACGTCATTTTATTTTGTTTTATTTATAAATATAAATTTAAGCTACTAAATGGATAGACTATAAAAAACTAAGATTGGAAAATCGTGTGTTATATATACAAGTTAGTATTCTTTCTCACAAAAAAATAAAAATGAATATTTTAAATTTGATAATAAAATATCCATTGCAAAATTTTGATTATCATCAACATAATAAACTCTATTCTCTCGTAGGAACAATACATAAATCAATAAATGATATTTTACAATTAATTATTGACTAGTCTGATCTAGTCTATCCATATAAGGGCAACGGATCTGTGAAAATTTAAATTGCAGTATTATTATATAAATATAGTAAATCTAATACAAGTTTCAAAGATTCGTTACCCTATTTATAAAAAAATTTTTTTCACTTACCGACCTGAAGCGCAACAGGCGGAGTTAGTCAGCCACGAAGCTACGATGATACTATAACACACAAATAAAAGATTCAAATTAAAACATTGCTCATAATAGTCATAATAATCAATGTCTCAAAAGATAATTCTTATGCATATTGAATTAATTTAATTTAATTTGTCTTTAATTAAATATTATATTTACTAATATGTATAATTATCTATCTCC